CCCACGCTGCTGGGGCTTCTGCAGCCCCACCTATGCGACCTGCCCCTTCCCAGGAGCCAGGCTCATCACCCGCTGCCCTGTGGGGCCCTGACTTTCCAGGGAAGCCGGCTCCCCAGGGCCCTTTCCCTTCTCGACAGGAATCCTAACTGCACCTTCACTCCCTATGTGCAGACACAGCTGGTCACCTGCCACAAGGTCACCCAGGCTGGGAAACTGGTGAGCTATGCCTGAGCTCAACGTCCCTTCACTCTCTGCAGTGAGGCAACAGAGCAAGATAAGATGCCTGGGGTCCCTGGGCCCACTACTCCTCACTTGTCCTCGGAGACACTTAAGACATCAACAGCAGAACTAGGATGTGTTTGAGAAAAAGAACAGGACCCAAGCTCAAGCCAGAGGCCCAAAGAGCAGCCCAATACATGAGAACTGATGAGCGACAAGGTGGGGAGTGTCGCTCGGGCGAAAAGTAGAGAGGGCGCAGCTAGGGTCTGCGTGAAACCTGTGCCAGCACAATGGGACAGGAGGGAAGGTCAGGCTGGGCAGGAACTCAGCTGCCCACACCAGCCATATTTCCTTTATCTTACCTTGGTATTTCCAAGCAACTCAGCATAAAATCCTAAAAGCAACATGCTCTTTCTCATACACATGCTGTCTCTTACACACACACACACACACACACACACACACACACACACACACACACACACACNTAAAAGCAACATGCTCTTTCTCATACACATGCTGTCTCTTACACACACACACACACACACACACACACACACACACACACACACACACACACACATCCATTTTAATTCTATCTGCCTAACAGCTTTCTTTCAAGTTTTGGATTCTAATTCTGAACTTCTCTGTCCTGGAAAGCTTGTTCTGCCCTCTCTGGTTCATGTCAACTACACACTTTATTTGCTCATTTAAAAAAAAATTTTTTTTATTAGTTTCAGGTGTACAAAACAATATGATTAGACATTTAACCCCTCACAAAGTGATAACACCCCCCCGTCTACTAACCCTCTGATACTGTACATAGCTATTAATTACACCACCATTGACTATATTCCCTATGCTGTACTTCACATCCTGTGACCATATATATATTTAATTATAGTTGACATTCAATATTATTACTATTTTTAAGATTTTATTGGGGAATTGGGGAAGGGAAACAGTGTTGGGGAATTGGGGAAGGGGAACAGCCAAGTTGTCCTTCAATCTTAGTTGTGGAGGGCACAGCTAGCTCAGCACCAAGTCCAGTCGCCATCTGGCCGCCCATCAGCAATTCGCGGCCGCTCAGCTCAAGGTGCTGTGTTCAATCTTAGTTGCAGGTGGGCGTAGCCCACCATCCCATGCAGGAGTCAAACTGACAACCTTGTTGTTAGGAGCATGTGCTCTCACCAGCTGAGCCATCCTGCCACCTGTTGGCAGCTCAGCTCGGGTGCAGCTCACTGGCCCATGTGGGAATTGAACCGGCAACCCTGTTGTTCAGAGCGCGTGCTCTTAACCAACTGAGCCACTCAGCCGGCCCCTTCAATATTATATTAGTTTCAGATGTACAGCGCACTAGTTAGGCATTTATATAACCTATGAAGTGATCCGCCTTATAAGTCCAGTACCCATCTCATACCCCACATAGTCTTTACAACATTCTGATTATATTCCCCATTTTGTATTTCCCATCCCCATAAATGTTTTGTGACTACCAATTTGTACTTTCTAATCCCTTCACCTTCTCCCTCATCCCCCAACCCTGCTCCCATCTAGCAACCATCAGTGTTTTCTCTCTATCTATGAGTCTATTTGTTTTGTTTATTCATTCATTCTGTTCTTTAGATTTCACATATAAGTGAGATCATATGGTATTTGTCTTTTTCAGTCTGACTTATTTCACTTAGAATAATACTCTCTAGGTCTATCCATGTTGTTGCAAATGGTAAGACTTCATTCTTTTTATTTTTTTTTTAGCTGAGCCATCCTGCCACCTGTTGGCAGCTCAGTGGCAACTCAGCTCGGGTCGGGCATGGAACCGCTGTTGCTCAGAACTCACACTCTTGCGCGAGCTCTTAACCAATTGAGCCACTCAGCCAGCCCTCATTCTTTCTTTTTTTTTTCTCCACCTAAGATTTTATTGGGGAATCTGGGAAGGGGAACAGACAAGTTTCTGTCCTTTTGTTCTTCAGTCTAGTTGTGGAGGACGTTGCTTCACTACCCCATGTTGGTACCATCATTGCGCT